CTTTCGGGTGTTTATTCCTTGCTTCAAAATAGGAGGTTTTCTGTTATCATTATAGTTTTGATTGTCTCAGGTTCTCCTTGCATTGTCTATCAGTGGTTTTATGTTCCATGTTGCAGTATAAGCAATAAGGTGTGCTTTGTTCACAGTCCCTTTCTTCGTGCTCTCGGCACTGTTTGGCCGTATGGCCTTATCTTAAACATTTGAAACACATCAATACTGGACCTATAAAGACTGATATCAATACGTCACAGAAATCTAGGTTTACTGACCTAGAATCACCTTCCCTTGGAATGTAAACACCACTGATTCAGTGTTTACATAGATACTATCACTATTTTCAGTTATCCTCTCCCTTAGCCTCCTGGCCTCAACAACATTTGCAACGGATTTTGTATACTCGACTATTTCACCTTCTGATAAGCCTTTGTAATTACCTCTGGCTATTCCTTTGCAAGTGACTAGGCTAGCTAGAATATACGCATTAAGGTTTTCCTCTAATAACATTTTATTAGTTAAAAACTCGTTTGCACTAAGATAGTCAGTGAATTCTATTCCAACTCTGTTTTCACCGTTTCTGGAGGTTTTCTTCAATCCTCCTACTTTTCTATTTCTTAAAAGTCTACCAATACTCATGGGATGCATATTGCCAATATTATCATCATTTTTGCTTTCAACCATAACCATGTAATGCATCTCTGAATGTATATGAAAAATTCCTTTTCTTTTTTTTGTCCGTATTTCAACTAGGTGGGGGCCCCCGTGATACTATTTTAGGTTAGAAAAAAATAAAGCAGGGGAAAGCTATACTAAGGTAAGCAGGGGTTTGAATTTTATTCTTAGGACTTACCCTCAGGTGCACTTAATTATTTTCTCTTCTACAATTAAGTATTTTCACTACCTAAATACTTTTATTTCGCAAAAATAAATCGAAAATTAGAATACCGAGGTGTCACTCTCTGGCGCCAATCTTCGACCTTCTAAATCCTGTCTCCACTTATCTTCAGATTTTTTCATTACATGTTTCTCAATTTTTTTTTTCTTGAAACAGATTCAAAGCTGAATATTTTAAGATGGGGTGCTCATAACCTATTAACAATTTGTGTTTTTTTAAGTTGTTTATAGGTTTGGGCAAGTAAAGAGGTGCATACATACATTACACTTTTTCGGAATCTTACCAAGTCGTATAATTACATATTTGTCATTTTGTATGAACTCTTCTTGACCGTGACAATATCGTTAGGTCTAAACATGACTTTGTAACCCAAGAATTGACTTTTTCCTAACTAACAAATTTTGAGATGTATTCTTTTCTCTCAATTATCGGCTCTATTTCCGCCTTTCTGGTCTTCCAATCACGATGGGATCTAAAGGATCCGAATTATCGAATTTCCTGCGATGAAAATTCTGATGTCTCCTCCTACTATTAACCTAATTTCTCCTGGCTCAGTTTCAGATGGGTAATTGAATCCTATAATTTCGATACCTGGCATATCTTCAGATTTCTACCTGATTTGTGTCTCCATACTGGCTATGAATATTGTATAAATCACGATATACAACTGAAGTGATTTTGTTTATGTCCATTTGTACAGTTCCATCTTCACTTCTTATGTGCATGGTTCTGTTGTCATCGTGTCTTTGTTTTAGGAGTTTTAGGACTTCATTTTCTTATATTTCTTTTATTGCTTTGTTGTTTTTCCCTTATGACATTTTTGATAGTTGTGTTGTTTTTTCCTACTTTCCTCCTGTTTGTAAAAGTTGTTCGTTCAATCCATTATTGATATTGCTTATGTCATCTAGTTCTAGTAGTTCTTGCAGCTCTCCGAACTCTATGATCACTGCTTGTAGAGAACCGAGTAGAGAACCCATCGATAACATCCTCGGAAATACATTGACTGTCACATCATATCGCCTGGTATCCAAATACATTTTCCCCAGTAGCACACAATGTTGGTCCTATGTTGCGGATACATTGGACCAATATTGTATGTTGGCCCAATATTGGAATTTTTTAGCCAACATTGGACATTTATTGGCAATACAACTTCTTTCATCATTATAATAATATATTTATCCAAGAATGGGCCAATATACACAAACAATATTTTTATCGGCAGCATATAGCCAAGATTGGTTACATATTGGCAATACATATTTTTCTTATATAACAGTAATATATTTATCCATCATTGAACCAATAAGCACAAAAAAAAATTTTTTTTTTGCATTATTGAGCCAATATTGGCAATACATATTTTTCCACATTGTAATATTATATTTACTTAAGAATGGGCTAATATACAGAAAAAATATCTTCATTGACATTATTTAGACAAAATTGGTGGATTATTGGCAATACAACTTTTTATAATATTACCATAGTATTGTATCCATTAATGGACCAATATGCACAGATAATGTTTTTATTTGCATTATTAAGCCAATATTGGATATAATATGGCAAAACAAATTTTTCTAATATAACAGTGATATATTTATCCATATTGGCCAAATATTGATTCTATATTGGTAAAATATTGTATATGGATCCAATATTAGCAATTTGTAGCCAATATTGGTTATATATTGGAGATTAATTTTTTTCCTACATTATTGTTATATAATATGTGAATCCAAGATTGATCCAATATTGGATCCAATCCATGTTTGGCAATATCTTTTATTCATGTTTATATTTAATATTTATCCAATATTGGTGATATATAGGAGATGTATCTTTTCCATATCAATCAGGACTACCGAGAGAGGGCACCACGCGCTACTGATGGCCTTGCTCTTTCCTAGTGTTTGAGTTTCCTTCAAACCTGTTTCTTTAAGTTGATGTGCTTCGCTCACAAGCTCGAAGCCGGAAACCGGTCTAGTCTGCAGGTGTTGGAGCTTTGGTTAAATACATGTGTTTTTCCAAAAAAATATTGTAAATATTTCTAGAAGAAATATTTCATATTTATTAATTGGTAATATTGGAGAAATATTTATATTCACTATCGGATTCATATAAAAAGTATACATTGTGCCAATCTAAAAAACAAATATTGGGTATATTTCTAAAAGCAATATTACATGTTTATTAATAAGCAATATTGGGACAATATCTTTCTCCAATATCGGATTCATATTTACAATATATAAGTATTGGACAAAAAAAAAAATCTGTCGTTTTCATTCTTGGGCCGATATGTAAATATACTCCTGGACAAAATTATCGCACCACTGCTTATAGTGATGCTTATGTGTAGTGGTGCGATAATTTTGTTTAGGAGTATATAATATTTTACCAATATTGTTGTGCTACTGGGGTTCTTATCATTCAAAGTCGCTCATGATAGTAGTTTTCATGCTCTACCTTCGTTTATGACTGTTAATAGTATTTCAAGGGGAATTTCTAGATCTTCGTCTATTAGATGAAACGTTTAAAAAAGACAATTATGCCATCGAATTGTCAGTAATAAAGAGAAAGAAAAGAATCTAATTTTCCTTTAAAAAGTACCTACTCTCAATTCTCACTTCTTTCCAAACTCTCTACTCTAACTTATAATGGAATGGTAATAATTCAAGAAAGTTATAATTGCTCCTCTAAAAGTCACCGGGAAATTATTTTCGATCCATTGTCGAAACTACTTTTCGACTTTCGAACTCGTTTTTTATCGAGAAAAAAGACCAGGGAACGTCGACGTGCAATCAAAACTTTACTCTTTTTCCAATTTTTAAATGACAGAGTTCCTAATCTGGAATTGATGGGATGAAACTTTTTTTTCTAAGGGGGAACCACATTACTTTTATACAAACTTATGCCCTCAACTTTCTTTGTATGCCATTTTTATTACAATGTGTCAGATATTTCTTAGAATATATTAAACACCCACAAAAGAAAAAAATTCCCATAATATTACGCAACTCTCCTTTTTAAAGCTCAATTGATTTTTGTTCCCTTTCAGGCTCCAAAAAAGGTACTTAAGGGTTTTCTAATAAGCGTGAACATTATCTTTTCGTAATAGTGAAAAATTACTTTTTCTGAGTTTTTGTCGGTTGGAGGATCTTTTTTTAAAGGACCCTAAATGGATGGTTTTGTTGTCTTATGATTTTGAAATATTGCCTTTAAAAAGTTATGCTAAACTTTTAGTTCAAATTGAAAACAACTTTTAATTATGGCGACAACCAATCAAAAGTTCGCTAATTTTTCAGGTCAAACTTGTCCATCTGAGATTGAGAGAAATGTAAACTTTTTTCCAGGCCATTATCATCGAATGAGCTTTGCATTTAATTTCAACAGTTTGTGTGTTTATGCTATTGATCGGTGGTTCCAATCAGTTAATACGTGAAACTGAAACTTTTTGTTTCAGTATCCATTATAAAAAAAAAATCGAGTTTCAATTAAAAGTTTATATGAAATCTGGAATAAATTATTTTTTAAGCTATATACGTATCCGGGAAAATCCATTTTTTCCACGGAAACAACATATCCGTCGCGGCGCCTTTTCCATATCTCGACGTATCAACGAAACAAGAACAACACAGAATTTAAACTTTGTTCTCGGCTCCGACTGATAACATTACTTTTTTCACACGAGCTTGCACATCATATTATGCGGGCTGTTTGGGTTTAGAGACTGATATAAATTTATTGAAGTTTCGCGTTTATTTTTGGCAAGAATTGATATTTCGAATCAGGTTTTCCTTTTCATAGGAATCGCAGCTGTTCAAAGCTAGTGCTCTCGTAGACGTGATTCAAAATTCTCATATTTTTCAAAAATCGGAGGGGATGATGAGGGAAAAATTATTCATCGCTGTTCACTTACATGTTTCTCCTGCATACCATCACTTAACGTCCAGAATCCTCTGAGATGTTTTTTTTTTTTTGCGGTAAAACAAAGAAAGAACTAGTCAATTTTTCAAGTTAGGAAGGCGGTTGTGGTTCATGCGGCGGTAGTTATTAACGCGTGTCTCCTTTTCTTAAAGCATCGTAATTTTTTTTTTTCTAGATTGCTTGCTGTGGAGCTGATGGCCCTGATGACTATCTCAACCTTCAACAACCCTTACCAACTGAGTGCAGAGATACTGTTACCGGAAACCCGTTCTTCCATGGATGTGTCGATGAACTTACCTGGTTCTTTGAAGCTAAATGCGCTTGGATTGCTGCTCTGGCTATGTTGACTGCTTTTGTCAGTGTAAGTGAAAAAAAAAATAGTTTCGACCACTGGCTCTAAATATCCGCGATATTAATTTTGAAGAAAATTATCCATTTTGACTTTTAAAAATGACATTATATTGAACGCATAACAACTAAAGTAAGTAGACGTCTATTACCTCAGTGATTTAATAGATATTCACGATACAAGTGACAGCAGCATCATTAAGATATACGGGTGTGAAAGTAACCACACAAGTATCCTTCCAAGGACACTCCAGGAACGATTGGCTCTTTAGGAAGAGAAAATTAAAACTACACTCACAGCAACACTGGATAGTCAATTTTTGACATAAAATTAATGTATGTGTCAAATCCCGTGTCACTTGAGTGAACAGCGTTTCCACAGCTATTTCTCTAATACATTCTAAATTTACGTTATTAGGAAACTAAATAATTTTATGTCCGATTGACCAATAAAGTGCTATTTATAGAACAGTTTTGCGTCAATAAAGTAGCACTTTATTATTATACTAGTAAAATAAAGTGCTACTTTATTTTACTAGTAAAATAAAGTGCTACTTTATTGCCTACCTGGACTACCTGATAAGGTGAAACAGGTCCTGACAACCTGCCAAAGTGAAACAGGTCTTGACAACCTGCCAAGGTGAAACAGGTATACCTACGCGAATTTTACTTTTTTCATTCAATTTTTTTCATTTTTAACAAAAACCAGTCAGAATCGTACATAAAATCATGTATATAACGCTTACATAAACAGGCTTTATTGACTCATTATTTAATAGCCTCGCTCGCAAGCTCGCTCGGCCATAAAATTATTCGTACAATAAAGCCTTACTTTATGTACTTGTTATATAAATAGCTATTAAAAGTAGAAATTACAAATTTTATTTGGAAAAACGCACATTCATATGTGTAGTAACATTTTCAATTGAGATAACACAAATAATGCATGCAATATAATCAACATTCCCTACGTTTTCAAACACAGGCGGTAGATCTAGGGCAATTCGCATAAATTCGCCAATATTGATTTCTGGCGAAAACAATGTTTGATCGGGATAAAATGTAAACAAGACGATACCAGGAATGTGAGGGAGAGTGCAGTCCCTGGGAATACTGTTGCCGCGTTAGGCAACCAATGAAAATGCATCAGAAAAATTCTTCAGATTATTTCTTGCGTGCCCTTACCTTTGTCGTTACTGTTAAGGCTGATTGTCGTGTAGGATGCACAATAAATGGTGTCAACATCTAGGCCACCTCTCTACAAAGATTTTTGCTAAGTCAAATAGTCTAACAAATTTATGGTCGGTTAGATCAAATGGATTTCTCTTGCCTAGGACATCCCTTGGAACCCCAAATCATCCTATGGCATCATCCATATCATTAATATTAATATTATTATTTCTTTCTGCTGCACAGATTTTTACTCTGGTATATCTCCAATCGACAGCCAGTTAACAAGTCCATTAGAGGAAAGGTCACTTCTGGTTGAGAAAGGATCTTGTGATATTACAAGTTTGCAGTATAGTGGCTTTTTGAGCTTGGGAGTGTATGTTTTCATTGAGACCGTTGATGAAGGTGTTTGTTTATTGAATGTTTTCGGCGTGATTCCCGTTACTGAGATGATTAAAGGAATCATTTGAACTTGTTGCTGTTGCCATATTCTTTTAATTTCTATAGCTAGTTCTTGATATTTTTGTCTATTTTTTTTGGAGGTATTATGGTCACCCGGCACAGCGATATCTATTAGATAGGTAGTTTTATTTTTTATTTTCTACTTTACTATTATAGATCCATAATACCTAGGAAAAGAAATACGTTAACACACCTATAACAACCTGATCCATAACGCCCGCTTTTGCGGGCGTTATGATCTATAACGCCCGCTTATAATACCTTAAGGTGTTTTTGTTGTTGTTCTATCAATTTGCACTTTACCCTAGGCAGCCACTAAATGTCTGACCGAAAATAATTTTCGGTCTAGCCAGGATTCGAACCCGGTCTACCATCAATGTTTCCCATGTAGTCCAGCGCGTTAACCCACAGGACCACCACCGTTGCCTTGCCTTATGAGATGTTTATAGATATATTAATTTATTTCGTTTCTATGTACAGGTCGCAGGTACAGGTATAGGTCACAGGTACAGGTACATGTCAAAATACAAAACAATATTCTGTCACACAAGTTTAACTGATTTTGTTAATAACAAATTGATGAAAAAACATTGTGTTGAGTAGAAAATAAAGCATTGTATGCACCACGGGGATTTCAAGATTATAATGCCCTTCAGGCGAAATATATCCCTCGGGCCATAGGCCCTCGGGCTAGTTTCGCCTTCGGGCATTATAATCTACATAATCCCCTTGGTACATAAATAGCTATTTTGTCCTAAAAAGTTATATCTGGCCTGTTGTGCATAACCGTTTTATCCGTATGTTTTGTCAGGTCCCAGTATAGTTTGTAGTTTCTATTTTCTGTTATTGACGCGAGGTTATAGGTGTAGTAAGGTTGGTTTTCATCATGAAGTTTATATTTCAGTGCAATTGCTTGATGAATTATTTTTGCGACTGTGTTATGTCTATTGGTCTTTTGAATACCTGCTTACATTTTGCACCCTGAATCATGTGGTCTATTGTTTCGGGAAGTAGTTGACATTTTCTACATCTATCGTTTTTCGCAGAGCCATCCTTTATGAAAAATATCAGACATAAAACTGATAACAAAGCACAAACAGTGAAAGAAAACTCTTGAAATTTTGAAACATAAGCTCTCAGTCTACTCAGCACGTCTGGAAGATATAAGGAATCAAACGAGAGAAAATGGCAGAACACGTTATTCCAACAAGGAGAAAATTGATTCTATAACAAAATAACGAGCAGCAACATAATACCAGCATCACCACTAAGCAAGGAACAAATAACAGAGTACTGGAGTAATATATGGTCCAAACCGACAAACTACAATGAACACGCCACTTGGATGAGAAAAGAAACAGAAAGGATACAGAACGTACCGCAACAAACAAATTACACTATCTCAGAAAAAGAGTTTAAATATACGTTAAGTAAAACGCACAGCTGGAAATGTTCAGGTGCAGACCAGATACACACCTACTGGTTTAAACCATTTTCATCTACACGTAAATACCTAACTAGAGAGATCAACAGAATAATCGAGAATCCACACCTTTTACCACAGGTCATAACAGATGGCAGAACCTTTAAAAAAACCAAAAGCGACAAGGCAGATAACCCAGCAAACTATAGACCCATAACCTGTTTACCCACAATTTATAAGATCATCACAGCAGCACTTTCAAATAAAATCGATGCTCATCTATCAAAATACAGCATGCTCACAGAAAGACAAAAAGGATGCAGGAAAGGGAGCAAAGAGCTACTAATAATAGACAGCACAATGCTCAAACATGTTCAAACCAAACAACATAATTTATACATGACGTATATAGATTTTAACAAGGCCTTGGACATGGAACCTCACGGATGGCTCAAAAAAAAAAAATACATATCTATTAAATCCATCCAACAATCCAAAACTTCCTCTCTGTAGCAATGTCCAACTGGAGAACAAAAATCAATCTGAGAACTGCAGATAGATATGTCGAAACCAAATACATAAAGATTCAACAGGGATTATTTCAGGGTGATGCCCTCAGTGCATTATGGTTCTACATGTGCCTAAACCCCCTATCACACGCAATGAATGACACCAAATATGGATATACACTCAAACAAGGAAATAGACTGTGAGATAGGGGCTGTTTAGTGGAGTCATTTTTTTTGTCTGGCATTTTGAGGGCTGAATGTGGCTACTAAGCTGGTGAGAATATGGGTGATTTTAATGCCTGCCTCCCGTTCGAAAATTTGCAGAAGAAAAAAATTGATTTACATGAAGATTTTTTTTTTAATGATCCCAAATTTTTTGGCTTCTAAATAAAAGATTCACATTGATGAATAATTCACCCATAAAAAATACCAGATGCTTTTCAATAGCTGAAAAAGTGGGGATGAGTGTCAACTTTCAAGAGAAAAGAAAAGAACATTCCACGTTTACTTTTTGTCTGGTAATCCAGAGAATAGAAGGTTTTGTTGTGAAAATAACGCTGAAAAATCGCCAGTCGGTAATCAAAGTTCGAAGTCGAGTTTTCCGGCGAAACATTCTGTGGACATTTCGAACAGGGGGCAGGCATTAGAACCATTTATATTCTCATCAGCTAACTTGCCACATTCATCCCTCAAAATGCCAGACAAAAAAAAATGACTCCACTAAACAGGCCCTATCTCAGGGTCTAAAACATTACTGTACATAAAATAAATCACCTCCTATACATGGATGACATAGAAATTTATGCTCCAACAGCTACAGATATGCAAGGACTACTGAAAACAACTGAAATAATATCCAAAGACATCAACATGGAGTTCGGGATCAACAAATGCAAAGTTCTACACATAGAACGGAGAAAATGAAAAATTGACCAAATGGAGAATACTGTCAGTAATGAAAGGGTAGAACAAATGGCAGTACATGAAATGTATAAATACCTTGGGTTTGAATAAAACCGAGTATTAAACCACGCCTCCATTAAAAAATAACTCAGAGACAACTACAAGAAAAGACTAAGACAACTCCTCAAAACCCATCAAAACTCAAGAAACCTATTCAAAGCCATCAACACTATCACAATACCTATCCTAACCTACTCCTTTGGTATAATTAAATGGTCCACAAGAGACTCTGAGAATATACATATTCTAACCAGATCACAATTAAAAAAACACAGGAAATTGAATTCAAATTCCTGCAAGGAAAGGATAACATTGAAGCGAGACCAGGGAGGTAGAGGAATGGCAAACCTTCATGAACTGCATGCTAAGCAGAATGACATACTGAGGACGTACTTCCATAGTAGAGAACACCCATTGCACAAAGCTATAGTAAAAATCGATAAAAACTATACACCCCTTAACTTAGCAGCGAAAGTACAAAATATT